GTAAATAAGCATCGTTCGATTTTGGCGCTCGGTATAATTTGTGTTAACCAGCTGCAATCCCAAGGGCTTTTATAACCCCGCGAACAAGATAAACTTTACTCTACTCCCCCCCTCCCCCCTCTCTCTCTCTCTCTCACGCTCGCTCGCTCGCTCGCTCATTGTGTTTCTAACATTTCCGAACACTGTTCTCACTCTGATAACCGCAATCGCGGCGAACTCATTCGCAAGTCGAATGGGATTTTTCGGTGTTACGCGGGAAATCTCGAAAGCTCGAAATTTCGAAAAGGAGGAATAATAGCGCGCGATTCCAGGCACGCCGGACGGGCCGACGACGACGAGGCGCAGATACGAGAGCGCGATTGTTACCTGTGGAGAAATTTAGGTGGGAAATCTCCGCAATATTTTTCAGGCAGCGCGTATTCCTTTTTCTTTCGTTTCCCCGCCTATTGTTTGCGAGCACGCGGCGACGAGCGCGCATATTTTATCGAACGGCGAAGGAAACCACCGCCAAGGAAACCACGCACGACTCGCGGCTAAATTAGAAAAGCGAGCGACGGATTCTTTTTTCTCTGCTAACCCGGCGACGCAGTCGCCGGTAACAGGAGAGCCGGAGCGACATTGACTAATGAGCTCGCATCGGGCACTCACAAGCACACGCAAATGCATTCTCCGGCTGTGTCGCGCGAATCATAATCCGCGCGCGGTCGTTTACGGCTGGTAATTTGACGTGAGACGAGCCACGAAAGGACCAACGATCCCTTCTCTCCCCCGTCCCGCCTCCCTTCCCCTCCTCCTTCTCGCCGTTCTTCCCAGCACAAGGGGCGCTACTCATTTTAATCACACTCGAGAGTGTGGAGAGTGAGAGGGACAGGCTCTCGCGCAAGCAGCCGCAGAAATCGCGCCCCGATCCATTCTTAATTAAAAAAATTTTAATTTAAAAATCTCACGAAGAAAATATAACGCGCGAGATATAAGTGTCGCAATTCCGCGCGTCGCACGCGCTCGCTCGCGTTGCGCGAACGTGATTATCGGAGTTAACCGCCGCCGCCGACGAGCGCTCTCTCTCTGTCTCGGCTCTGGAGGCGAATTTTTTAAGTCAACTGTGTTCGGTTAACGGTATTAAATTCAGATATAATGACGCTCTTCATTACGCGTAACGCTATCGTGATATCCGAACCGTACTACCTCCCCCTCCGCACTTCTGATCCGCTTTCTCCGTCTCCATCGTGCGTTATCGATTCTCGAAATAAATCTCACGAGCGGCGAAGAATTCGCGAGAGGCAGTCTCGCGCGATGGAAATAAATCTTGCACGCTTCAGGAAAAATTGCGGAAAATTATTTTCGCAATACGGCGTTGTTCTCTCCCTCCTCCTTCCCCCCTCCCTCCTCCCTCGCTCTTCCGTTCTTTTGTTACAGGAGTAAAGGATGGCTACGATTTAATGTAAACGGGCTGTTCCGCGCGAGGAAGTAATACGCAGTTACATGATCCCGCGGCACACACCGGCGAGATGTACGTGCGCGGGATACGCGTAATTTCGCTCCTGAGAATAAAAAAGGATCGTACGCGGGGAGTGTAACACGCCCGCGCCGCTGCGGTTGCGCTCGCATTGCCTTCTCGTTGCCATTCGTTCGCGGTGGCCGGATAAGTGCCTCGTAAGTAGTATAAAACTTTCGCTCTTAACGTCTCTCAATATTCGCGCGCGCGCGACTTTCGCGCAGAATGTTACCGCGCCGTTCCCCGCGACTCCCCCCCGCAGAAAGGACTTTTTTCCCCGAGAACCGCGCGGCAGGACGGGGAATTTGTGCACGAGAGCACGCGTGCATACTCGACGGAAAGTCCACGAGGACGATGTAAATTCTTTTCTCCTTCTGTTTATTTTCTTCCCTTTTTTCCTTCTTGCCTCATAACCACGTAACAACAAACTTGTCTCGCGCCGCTGTTTGCCTCGTTCCTCCCTGTCGTTCCGCGCCGTCGTGAAAGCTGCGACAAACACGAACCGAAATTTTGACTCCACTTTAATCCTGCAAGCACCCTCCAACTTGAAGGATCAATGGAGGATCTCGAAGTATGACGCTTTACGAGCTACCGCTTCGCCTTGGCTGCAAATAGTTGCTACAGGTATTTTTCCAGAACGCATCACAGGAAGCTCGCAATCGCTTCTTGAAATCTCCAAATTCTTCCGCGTGAGAAATCGAAATTTCTAACGTCGTTGAGAAAATATTAATGAAATGAAAGAGAGTATTGTTTGTACCTTATCGGATTACGTAATTTTTGTTCATCGCAAACTCGCATTCGCAATTAAGCGAATGGATGGACCACACTTGTTGTTTATTGAAATTATTAAGGACACCCGAAGATTAAACGCAGACGAGCCATAGCGAGAAAAAAAAAAAAGAGAAAGAAGGGGGAGTAAGAACAGCGGTGATTATTTGCAACGTCGGGAAACAATAGCCGGCGCAATATCATAGCCCGGTTTGCCGAGTTTGATGGAACCAGCGGGATTAATGCGGAACCAAAATGTCGACTTTGGGATTCTTCGGCAAAGCCGACGCGCGATCGCGGCTCTCGCTGTGATCGAGTCCGCCGCGTAAAATTGTTATTACGAATGCGCGCGCACGCGCGCTCGCTCGCGACTCCTCGCGCAAACGGACGAATAAGCCCGCGCCACTAAAATTGCATCTCGGATTACAGCACAGTCACGGAAATTCCAGCTTTTCCGCTCGGTCCAAGAGGGACACGCCGTTCTCCGGCGTTGCTCCGGCAGTAGCTGGAAATACGCGCCCCGGCGATGCCACTCGTTAGTTTTCGTCGGCAATTTTCCCAACCGGCTTTCGCTATTCTTCGCGACGAGCCGTTTCCGGGTAGAGTGCCCATTAAAAATGCCGGGGGGTAGAACGAAATAAAATAGATTTCCGCCCGGACTCGGGGGAGAGAGAGAGAGAGAGAGAGGGGGGGGGGGGGGGGGGAGAGAGAAAGAGAAGAGACCGACGCGACGTCATTCTGTTTAAAGCTGTCGCTGACTCGTTGCTGCCGTCGCGTCGAGTTACTTGGAGAGTCTCGCAATAAAATAACTTCAGGGCGAGAGAAGAGCGGGCGTTCCTGCGCTCATTATACGCCATTGTGCAGCACAAGCTCCAGATAAATCCCTTACCGAACACGTTATACTGCGCGGCCTCCCGTAATATCACTTTTTCTCGTAACTTTTCAAGTCGCCAACGCTGCGACACGCTGAATCGGCCGGCGCGCTTACTACGGCGAAAAGGGAGATGCAGCGCGCGCTGCATTTGTCGCGTCCGAATGATCTTGCATTTTTATTCGCGCGTGCAGCGCAACACTCGCGCAACCCCTATTTCGCGTTGTTTATAAGCGCCGTCGACGACTGCTCGGTCGCGGAGGTGCGAATAACGATTATCGATACTAGCTAAAAGTAAAAGGGAAGGCAGGTATCATCGATATCGTATCGATAGTTGGCGATAATAAATACCGTTGGATAATGCCGTTATTGATGTCGTTTAATAAAACAGTAAAAACAGTAAATAATGCCAATATAATCGGTAAATGGCTCGTACACGTAAAGAAAGAGTCCATGATTTCGAAGGGGAAAGAGAATGGCATTATCAGTTTTTTATTTGGAGGGCATTTTCAAGGTCAGTTGAAGATCAACTTAATTTTTAAAATAGAAAGCCCAATTTTTTATTATATCTTCTCTTTTCGCCAATTAATTTCAACAACTTTTGTCTGAAACATTTTTTCATTTGCTTAATACTTTTTGAAATATTTAAAGAAAACTTGGTAACTTTTTCAACATTTAACTTACGATATCTCGCTAATTATTCGTCGAAAGGAAAAATAGTATTAGAATCTTTTTATTTTATTTATTATCAAGAATATATTACTATAATAATACCTTAACTTTTGTTAACTTATCGACCTTTGGAAATTTCAAAATTATTAAATTAACAAAAGTTAGGGCACTATTATAATGTATTCTTGATAGTAAATAAAGTAAAAAAGTCTAATACTATTTTTTTTTCGACGAATAGATAACGAGACATCGTAAGTTAAATGTTGAAAAAATTACCAAGTTTTCCTTAATCATTTCAAAAAATTTTAGGCAAACAAAGAAATGTTTCAGACAAAAGTTGTTAAAATTAATTGGTAGAAAAAAAAGATGTAACAAAAAATTGGCCTTTCCATTTTAAAAAATTAAGTTGACCTTCAGCTGACCTTGAAAATGCCCTCCAAATAAAAAACTTATAATACCATTCTCTTTCCTCCTTCGAGATCATGGAATACATGTTTCAGCTCTTTTTAATATCTTTCATAGTTTCCGATATTTTTTACCTGATACATTTAAAATTTAGCACCCTGTATAATCTTACATTGCTACATTGATTTCGCCCCAAGAGCGCTCTATTCTACATCTAAGCAAGAGTCTATCAAGACTTGTGACGCAATTGACGCATGCGCAGGAGGAGGTTCCGTCGAAATAAATACCCCCAACACTACTCACAACTGACTGATCAGCGCTGACGCCTAGCATATATTAACAAAATTATAACAATTGACCATCTATCCTTTATGCTCATCTATCCCGGTCTCTATTATCGGTAGTATCGACTCCATCGTTTATAGATAATCGTCGCTTGCTTCGCGAGCGCGCCGTCGCTCTGGATCGCCGGTATTCTTTCAAGTCGGCCACTCGCGAGCCGCACGCGAAACCAGCGTTTCCTCGTGCCGAGCGAGCGGCAGAATTAGCACACGGCTTGAGAGCGCCGGATATAAAACCATTTATGCCAAGGCCGTTATTCGCGCGTTGAAATCTACGCGAGCACGAGCGCAGGATTAATGCGGCCCGCTCGCGTGGATATAACTCGGCCTCTCAGAGACGGATCATTAGCGATTTCTTATTGAGGAGGTCGCGTTCAGCCGCATTCCGTCGGCGAGCAAATGATACGGCGCGGCGCAGCGAAAAGTAAGAAGATTCAGCCGGACTCACCGCAGGTGTACACGACTTTGAGGTAGGTCTTGCTGTCCGGTCTGCAGGGGTCGCCGAAGGTCGTGCTGTTGGCCACCACCGAGCATCGTCGTTTACCGTGGCATAATTGCATGACGGTTTCCGTTGCGAACGTTACCATGCAGGCTGCAAACATATAACGGTGGAAGTGTCAGAAACAGCCCCGAAAAAAGGGGGAAAAAGGAGCAAACGTCGCCCGTATGTCCTCAATCTTTTCGCGAAGGGTGCATTAATGCGAGAGGGGGACGGGGAAATCACAAGGAGGACAGAAGGATGCGTCCGCGCGAGTCTCACGATAATAATTCCGCATTTCGTTGAAACGCGTGCGGGCGCGACTGCTTTCATCCCGCCAGAACGTATCTGCGTATACGATCCCGGGCTTGCTTTTTGTCTTCCGAGAGAAAGACTTCTCTGTCTCTCCCTTTGTGCGAGAAACATCTTTGTAAGTTTCCGCTCGCGCTTGTTTATGATTTAGAACAAACACGATGCACATTGTTTCCGTTAGCGAATGCGCTCGAGGGCTACGGAGAGCCGGTCATCGACGACGACGACGACGACGACGACGATGCAGTCGCGCGGGAAAAAAAATAAGAATTTATTGATCCGACTTCACACACGACATCGCTGACAAGGGGAGAAGAAGCCGAAAAGAGGCGACGAGGAGAGAGCAGGAAGTCTCCGGAGTTTCCGACACTCTTTTGTGCGAGGAAATACGTACGTTGCGCTCGCGCGACGTCAGACGTGACGACGCGACGACGCGGCCTGTCGTCGCGTCTCGCGAAAGGATATCAAGGCGACCGCGAGGCATTCACACCGGAGAAGCCCGAAAAAAACGGCATTATATAACGCGCCGCCATTCCGCAGATTTTGCTCCTTATTGTCGTTCGCGCTCCGGCGAGATCGAGCAGTCGTAAGGAGCGATCAAGCGCCCCCCTCTGCGTCTCGGAGGGATTGACTGGCTGGCTGCTCTTGGCCTTGCGAATGATGAGGTGACGAGTAGGCCAAGTAGTTGCGTGAGGTGAAGATTTATCGGATCATCACGGGAGGTTCTCGGAAACGAGCTACTCGGACAGCTATGAAATCAGGACTTCTTTCCTTTGTTTATACGAGAGGAGGCCGGCAGGATGAATCCCGAGTAGAAAAATTAATAGGGCTCTGATAAGGGCCTGATTATTTTTCTCTAACATTAATCGGGCCCTAGCAGGGATGGAAAGACAAGGGCCCTACAAGATGTGTGACAAATGGTTTAACGAGTCCTTATAAAGCAATATTATGAGGATCCTATAAGGCAATATTAATAAGGCTTCATAAGGAAATATTTTTTTATTATTGCTGAAGTAAAAGTATTCTTTTCATTCCAAGAAATTTAGACTGCAATTTCTTTATTTCTTTATATCCTTGTTAGTATAAGACAAGAATTTTTCATTTTAAAAATATAGCGTACTTTACAATTAAATATAGCATTCTTGACACATAAGAATCCTGCTACTGTTTTTATTAAAGTTTGTTACATTTCAAAACGAAGGTAATACTAGAGAAACCCTTTGAAAAGACTAATGAATATGGCAACTAATAAAATTAACAAAATTTATTTTTAATTGCGGTATAATCAAAAAATCTTTAAAAGAACCAGATAGAGCGTACCTACTAAAATAATACTAAACTATAACAATTTTATTACACGCTTCAGATCTTATTAATTTTCTATAACAAAATTTGATTTTGTATATCTAAAGCATCCTTAAAAGATCCTTCTAAGGCTCACAGTTTTCCACGTTAAAGCGTTATTTCATAAAATCTAAGGCATCCCTAAAAAATCCTTCTAAGGCCCTTCTCAGCCCTTTCCCTATCAAAGCCTTATTTTGTAAAATTTAAGGTATCCCTAAAGGATCCATCTTGGGGCCTGATGTGATAATAATCCCTTCTTAGCACATCCTACTTTCAGCCTTATCGGGGCCTTATGCTTCATGAAAAGGGCCCTAATAATTTTTTGCTCAGGGGAATGTCTTTCCTTTGTTTATACAAGAGGAGGCCGGCAAGATGGATGTCTCGGGTTAAGTGCCGAGAGATGCGTTGACAGAAGGAGCCGCTTTGTCCATTCTCCATTTTTTTCGCTTACTTCGCCGCGAACGACGACTTTTTGGAATCGTCCGCTTCTCCTTCCGCTGGCGCCTTCAAAGTTGGGAGCGACTTTACGACGTATGCGCGCGCGAACGATGATTATAGCAGCGGTCAAAACGACCGGGAATTATTAATGTCACGCCGTCCGCAGTCAGCCAACGCGGCGGGATCGTCCGAGTAACACTTTACGAAACGGCTAAAAGCACGACAATGGTCTTCGCGGCGGCGAGCCATTCCCGTTTATGTTCTCTCGTTTAGCGAGAAGAGGAAGACAGCGGGGAAACTCTCGTGCTCCTTCCAGCGACGGCTGATTGATCGGACTAGACGAAAAGTCGTCGTGGGAACGCACTCGACGAAAGAGAGAGGGAGAGGGAGGGAGGGAGGGAGGGAGGGAGGGAGGGAGAGAGAAAGAGAGAGAGAGAGAGAGAGAGAGAGAGAGAGAGAGAGAGAGAGAGAGAGAGAGCCGACCGAGGAGAGCGAGACCGTTTAATCGCGAGTCGAGATGGAATTTACCTTGAAAAGTTAAATAAAAGCGCGCCGCGTCTAAGGGGAAATGAACGGGAAAGAGGCTGCGCGCGCGCGAAAAAGAGAAGACTCTCTTTTCTCTTGGCTGCCTCTTCAGCTCGAATTAAAAGTAGCTCCCGCGGCAGCGCGAGAACGTGAGTAACGAGCTTTGCCGACATCAAACGTCATATTTGCTGCGGGAGTACATCTATCGGTCATCGAATTATCGCAGCTTGTCCGTCGGTCCGTCCGTCCATCCGAGCAACATTCGCAACTCTCTTCTTAAACCACAGCGGAACTCACTTTAATTTCCTCTTCCTGGCGTCGCGCTAAAGTCGGCCGAAACTTGGGCGGACGCGCCGGGGAAAGTCGCAATTCCGTCTCGCCGAGGATGACAATAAAGTGGGACAGACAGATCGGCGCGGGTGGGGACTTCGCCGCCGCGAAAAACTCATCGGCGGCCAGAAGAAGAAAAACGGACGACGACGAAACTTATCGACCGATCTCCCGCGGCATCGGAAAATCCTATAATATGTCGTCCGACTCTACGGAGATGGGGCTTCGTGAGATTTATGTCGTCGTCGCCATCGCCGCCGCCGACATCGTCGCCGACATCGTACGCTGGATATCATTACTTTAATGACACGCGTTATTTACGCTCGCGTAAATACTTGACGTCAACTGTAACTTCGAAGTGTCGTCGCGTTATTATTTCCTGCGAGGTAAACGACGCAACGCCGGAACGACGACGGTGATGTAACGCCGAGATGATATCGGAACAAGACGGAGAGAGAGAGAGAGAGAGAGAGAGAGAGAGAGGAGAGCGCGCGAAACTTAGAGTTTATGCTCGATTACTTTCTGCTGTAATAACGAGTGATGTGGCGCCCCGAGCAGATGAAAAGTCTCGTAAATATTGCATAATCAAGATAAAATGAGAAGCTTTCTCTCTCTCTCTCTCTCTCTCTGTCTCCTTCTTCTTCCCGCGTGTACCTCGCTCATGTTCCATACACAATGGGTATATCTCTCTCTCCGTCACACAGAATGATTTATTATTATATAGATATTCGAAAGGGGCGGGAACCGTCGGTTTCAGTTCCTTTGGCACGGTCGGGGTGGGGCGGGGGGGAAGGGTTGGAGCGCGAGGCAGTCGCGACAAATTTGCTGATTGGTAGAATCTCGAAACGCCCGGATATCTCTCGCGCGGTTACACGACGATAAATCATTTACCGAATACCGTGACAGTTAACGCGTCTCCCCTCCTCCCTCAATACCTCTCTCTCTCTCTCCTCCGCTCCCGCCTGCCTGCCCGTGAGGGATGCGCAAAAATATCGATCGTTCGCGAAGTCGGGGGGGCGCGACTGAAAATTTCCAGAGGCGCCGCTCTCTCTCTCCCTCTCTCTCTCTCTCTCTCTTCCACGTGTCGAAAGCAGAGAACGAGAAAGAGAAAGAGAACAGAGAGGGGGAGGAGGCCGATAAGCGCCCGGCGAACGCACAGGACTGAATGGGTTAAGTGTGTCAGGCTGAATGGATGAATAGAAAAATGTCGGCAATCGACGCCGGCTACTTACTCTCCTCCTTCACGCCCCGCGGCTGCGGACACTGCAGGGACTCGTACTCCGTTCTGCCGAAAGACGCACTGAAGATCGCCACCCTCTGGCCGGGGTAACAAACGAGATTGATAACGTCGTTCTCGCAGGCCACTTTGCTCCTGAATTCATCTGAAATCGCAAAACCGGCGTTTAACAAAGCGGCCGTTCGAGCGTCGCATCGCGCGCTTCGCAGTGGCGCAGGATACAATTATGTTACCGTGTAACGCCGTTTTACAAGCTGTACTTTATTAGCGAGCTCGCCATTCTCTCTCTCTCTCTCTCTCTCTCTCTCTCTCCCCCATCGTCTCGTCGGAAACGAGAGAGAAAGAGAGAGAGAGAGAGAGAAAGGCGAAACGGAAGAAAGCCCAAGAAACGAGGAAAAATGCCGGGACAAATCGTAAATTCCGTGGGCTCGAACGCCGTGGAGGGTGCTTTTTACGAGCCGGGGCGTTTCCTCGGGGTGGAACAGACGCTGTCTACTCGTCTCGTTACGACACTCTCGTTGCATTCGCGAATTTCAATGAAGCGGAATAGCTTGCAGCTGCCGATAGTACGTTTTTGCGGGCGAGTCGCGCGGTGGCGAGGTCGCCCGGAAAGTTTCTTGCGGCGGACGTAGTTTGCGACCTTACGGATTGCCGGCGTTTCGCTCTCGCTGCCGGTATCCCGGGGACGCGATAAGCAAGGAGACAAGCCGGAAAGCGACCGGGTTCTGACGACAAAGTCTGTCGATTTGCGCGGACCAGCGATACACACCGCCATCCGTATTCGTCACACGCCGGGCCCGCTCGGCAAGATTGATTAACATCGGCGTCAAATCATCGACCTTCACCTCCCCCCCCCTCCCCCCTCCCGCCCGGTCGCGGTCTCCCGAAGTATGAAGACTTCATCGCCGATCAGCATCGGGGCGAAGATTTTATCGACAGCAGTGCGCCACATTCGCCATGTCTCGACTACTGTCGAGCCCGCGGGGATTGTTCGAAAAGTGCAGACTCAGTGCGGCAATTATCAAACTGAGTCGACGGTTGCCGCGAGCGCGATGTTTGTTAGCGTGGACGGCGCTAAAGCTGCAAAAATTGCTCGCAAAGTGCAGACTCAGTGCATCAATTATCAATTGAGCTCGTACTCGGTCAATACTTGGCAGTCGCCGACGTAAAAATCGCGTCGCTGTCACGCGCTCTCTCCTTGATCCGAAACGGCTTCGGGGCAAGGGAGGACACCCCCTTGAGACAAAAGTCCTTTTGTACCTTTCGGTTCTCAGGCCCCCTTTCTCATTTCCCCTTTATCCTTGGCTGATTTTTTCTAAACGACGGCAGACAGAAACCGATCAATTAGGGTAAGTCCGGGATAGATGGGCATGGTTCTTTAATTGGAAATAACACATATGTGTTATTGCAATAAATGATTAACAATATATTAACACACTCGGTGAAGAGGATAATGTATTAGGGTACAGGAGAATTTTTGTGAAGAAAAATTCATGGGACGCCAATAATAACGAGATATTAAAAATATTCTGTGAGGGATGGATGTGGGCAAGGGTGTGAAGAGTGTGAAGTTGGGCATGCCTATAAAAATGTAGAAATTTGTTTATCTTTATTTATTTTTTTTTTAGTATTTTACATCCTTTTATTTTTCGTGCCAAAAGTGTGTTGGATATTTTTTTTTTTCAAAACTACCCAAATTTCATTGTAACGGTTTTTGGGGTTGCTGAATCCGAATATGAAATCAGGTTTCTGAAATTCAAAATGGCGGATCCAATATGGCGGACTAAAACGCAAAAACTTATTTTATTTTAATGATACCTGATATTCGGGGTTTGTCAGATCGCTGAATCCGAATCTTATCAGATTTTTAAAATTTAAAACGGCGAATCGAAAATGGCCGATGAATTTATATTCAGCGACTTCAATAAACCATAAGATACCAATTTTTATAGAAATCCAAGTATTTTTCGAATTTTCAACCGCCATACTGAATTCGCCATTTTAAATTTCTAAAGTCTGATTTCAGATTCGGATTCAACGATCATGAAAACATACAAATACCAAAGCACCATACTATTGCAAATCGCAATAGTATAAATACATTTTTCTCAAGATGCTCATATATCATATATATGTGTCATAAAGCAAAAGTGGCACGAGATTTATTTGCCCATATATGTGTCACTGACAGTCAAGCGGTTAAGTATTAACCTTTTTACTAATCCTTTTATCAATTACTAATAAACTGAAACATTTGCACAAGTTTCTTGTAGAAACCAGAAGGGCAACATTGAAGAGAAGATTAAAAAGTGCCCGGACTTACCCTACTTTTCTTTTATGGAAATTACCGAGAGACACGCAAGGGCGAACACATTCCGATGCGAGAGCATCGAGGAATGTTTCGACAGAGAGTTGACGGAGTTATCTCCCGGACAGTTCCCTCGAAGCTATCTCTCGCTAGGCCGCGCTCGACAGTGACCGCGCCCGTTCGCTGTCTCGATCACGCATTGTCGGCGTTGCGAATTCGATATCGAAACCAACATGTATCAATCACAACCGCACGCGAACCGAACAACATGATACGGCAATGAAGTCTCTTACACCTGTCCGATGCTGCCGAATGTTACCTGTCATGTCTCGATTACCCAAAAAGAGAGAGAGAGAGAGACAGAGAGAGAGAGAGAGAGAGAGGGGGGCGGGCGGGGAGAAAAAATCTCGACTGCACGGCTAACGAGACTCAGCTGCAGAGAGTTGCAAGCCGCGGCGCAGCGGGCCGGCCGGCGCGATTAATTAGCAACAAAGATGCGCCCGACGCGCCGCGGGAGTGAATTTGTCCGCGTTCGAGCGCGACGCAACGAACGCCGCCGTCGGCCGCGGTAACTCGTTGATATATCGCGGTTTCGTTGCGGTGGAACAACTTGGGCCATAACCGACGATCCCACCACGGCGGGGCAACATCTTTTCATACCGCGACCATGTTTCTTAGCCTAGCACGGAAGTCGGCGGGTGCACTTATGCTTGAGATAAAGTGTTATGCCCCGCTTTATTGAGTTGGCGATTTACGGCGCCCGCCGGGCGTGTTGGCTTCCCGAACTTCTCTCGCGCCGGCGAACCGCGGCGGCCAATGGCCACTGCGCGCACTCGCGCGCTGCACAATTTAAGGGGCGAAATTACGCGCGCGCACGCACCCTTCTCTCTCTCTCTCTCTCTCTCTCTCTCAAGGTCACCGACCCGCCGACTCGACGATACCGGCCGGACCGTCTAAACACCGACTGACCTATTTCTTTTTCCGAGCTTCCACCGCCTGTGATATCGCATTTTGCATGTCCGACCGCGACCGGACAGATGTAGCCGGGCGGTAGTATTTTTTTCTACATTCACGCATCCTTTGTTGCCGCGCGGCGTACAGCCGATATCGAGTTTCAGCCCGCAAACAGCCGCGCGCCGCGCGTGTAATTTTGCAATAACGGCAGTTTCACCGCGAACTGTATTAAATCGTGCCGACGGTTAAAAGCACCGTCATACTTCATGGCCGGCGTTCATGTATCAACGGCCCGCCGAAATGATCCGAGATCGATCGCGCGGATCGCATTCAGCCGTGTCTTCTTCGATGCGTAATGTCCCGTTATGTGTATGTGTATGTGTGTGTGTGTGTGTGTCGATACCGCTATAAACATCAGCAGTCCTGTTTTCGCGCTGGCATATTTCAATATATCCCGTATTTTTGGTCCCAGCTTTAGTAAGTCGCGTGTTGTTTTGCCGACTCGTATTTCGTTTGCATAACCGGCGCGGCGCGACGCGGCGCATGCATCCGATTTCAGGCAGCCCGCTGATTCGATCCGCTCATTTCAAGCGAGCCCGCTCCGCTGATATCGCTTTACCGCAGCCGCGATTGTTCATTCATTACACCCGGCAAACATGCGCGTTGATCTCATTTGTCGCGGCGACTGCAATGTCGAAAATGCCAGGCCAGCTCGAATCGGCCGCGTTCCGGCCGTCGCGTACGTAACGAGCGGTCGCGGAAGACGCCTCTCTGCAAAATGGCGCAGAAGTCTGTGCTCTCCCCCCCGGTGCGCCGCCCAATCTTCCACGTTATCAGCATCAGATTACATCGGCTTGCGCATCCCTCCAGGTCTCCCTTGCTCCTCCCCCTCTCCTCCCCCCCCCACGTAACTGCCCGTATCGCGCTATTACGGCCACGATAGCCATGCGAGGCAAAAATCGCCGCGCCACGTACCTGCCGGAAGTCTCTCGAGACTCGTATCCCACCTGGAAGGTGGAAGGATCCCAGCACTCTCCGGACATATCAAAGACCGGGGCGTCAATGGCCCGTGAAATTTCGCTCGGAAGAGCGGATCGTGGTACAAACGCGCGCGCACGACTGCGGGCCGGGAGAGAGCAAGAGCGAAATGGAAGGGGGGGAGAGAGAGAGAGAGAGAGGGAGAGTGCTCGCGGAACTTCCTTATTGCCCGTAAGAACGTCCGCGGGGAGTGCGGGGGGCCGGGTCGTGCGAGGGAGACGTCCAGTCTGGAGGTTTAATTGGCAAAAAAGAGGAAGCGCGCCGCGCGACGGCGGCGGCGGCGGCGGCGGCGGGGAGCTTGCAGGGGAGGGCGAGGGGAAAGAGAGGTAATTCCCTCGGCGGACCACTCGAAGCGACAATGGAGCCGGCTCCTCGCTTTTTCAGCAAAAGGCTGGGGCTTCGATCGACCTACTTTTTCCGACATCGATGGAATCTCTAGTTTCCACGTATGTTCCCGTGCCGAGAGAGGCCGAGAGAGAGAGAGAGAGAGAGAGAGAGGGGGGGGAGGAGGAGGAGGAGGAAGTGGGAGTAGAGAAAACGCGAGCGCGCGAGAGTACGTGCCCTCCACCTACGAGAGGGCACGTCGGTGGCCGACACGAGCGGATGTACGTCGACGAATGGAATTCTCCTCGAGGTACGTCCGGCCCTTTTTCGAGCACTCCGCCGGGTACGCTGTGGACGCGAATAACGCGGAGAAAGAATACGTGTCGTGGGTGACCGACAAAGCCGGCGAGGAGGAGGAGGAGGAGGAGGAGGGGAATTTTATTAGATTCTAAAGCGAATCGAGCAGCGCCGACGATAATGACGTCGCGGGCGTCGCGGACACGTCGTCGTCGCTGCGGCTT